ATTTAATAGATACATATGCCTGTGTGCCCTCTGGCCTTAATTTTTATACCTTTATATAAAATATTAATGAAATCAAATCAGTTTTTTGTTTAACCTACAACAGGATTCAAATATATCTCTTACGAATGACTAACATCCAGGGTATTCTTACATCTTTTAGGGAACTGATGGAGTGGAATATTTATTAATTCCTGTTGACAATGGAACATTGACTGATTTCTTAGAGAAGGAAGAAGAGGAATTTTGAAGCTCTCCTGTACTCTTGAATCTTCTGTGGAAGAGTTGTACCCCAGCTGCCACTCCTCTAGTCTAAAATGTTGTGTTTACATCCAATATTAGACTCTTTTTCCAATGTACAAGATTTAAAATTGGGAGGGGGAATGTCATCAATTAGAACCTTGATTATTAGCCTGGCTGGTGTACCATCCTAGTACTATGCAGTGGTCCTCAAGTTGGAGAAAATGTGCCTTTCATTCATTACCTCTCTGGAGACTTCTTGCTGGAAGGAACAGTGCTCAGGGACTATTTGGAGCTGGATGTTTTGAATTCTTTTATACCAGAGATGATATTCCTAATTTTTCGAGGGCCTTTTAACGCTCCTGGAGCTATCTGCAAATGTGCTTGTTCCAGAGTGTGGAAGTACAAAGACGTTGCAGCATCACGTAAATCGGCTTTATTTGCTATTCCATGTGTCAGAATTGAAGAGTATAATAGAGAAGGCAGATCATCTCTTACTGTTTCTGAAATGGCTTAACAAAAGGTGTAAGATTGGGGGAAAGTAGGTAATTCAACTTTCTCCTTTTGTATTTAGGCTACATGCTGATAGAGGAAGAAGGAGCATGATGCCATTCAGTTGGGAGAGTAGGAAAAACATAAAAGAGTATATAGGGTGTATGCCCATCCCAGAAAGCACGTGAACAGTAACAGATCGTGCTGCTCAGGACACTTAATGTCTGTGCCGTCACCTTCAGGATACAAGTTAGAAGCCAGGCTAGAGAAACACAAACCTGAATTTCATTTTAGTTATTTTTTCAAGGCAACAGAAAATAAAAATTTAACTATTCTTGTATATCAACATGTTTTTCTTTTCTTGAATAACATGAAGATGAGCAGCATATTAATGGCTGGCCTTAAATGAATTTGATTTCTCTATCAAGTAGGCCTAAAATTCACTGTAAGACATTTCAGTTTTTTTCCTTAAAATGACAATTTCAAACCTCCTAAATACTCAAGCCTTTTTTTCTCTTAGGAAAGACAAGAAGGTTAATCTCGGCCACTGGCGTCAGCTCATAGTCTTCACATACTCCCTGAACTATTTCATACTTGGAAATGAAATTCTTCATTAAAATATCACTGTAATATACTGCATCAGCATTTCTCACCCATTTCTCATCTTGTAAACCCCTTTTATGAAATATTTCCCAAAATGATCAGAATTCTTAAAACCATTTCTTTGTGTCATATAATGAAGTAATTTTATTTTAAATCCATGCATTAAGGGGTTTAGTCTTAAGCATAATTACTAATCAAAATTTTAAATTTATACATGAATAGGATTCTAAAATTGTTTAATTGTACCAAAGGATATGCAATGAAAAGTGATTTTCCTTACCATCCCTATCCAGTCCCTTAGGCAGCCATTGACAGCGGTTTAAGCATTCTTCCCAAGGTATTCTGTGCACATCTAAGGGTATTTGTCTGTATTTCTCATTTTAAAAACACAAATGGTGGCATATGATGCTTGCTGGTTTGCACCTTGTTTTTGTTTTTTGCTTAATATATTTAGTTTATTATAACTTACAGTATAAAAAAGTATATGAGGGGCTTCCCTGGTGGCACAGTGGTTGGGAGTCCGCCTGCCGATGCAGGGGACGCGGGTTCGTGCCCCGGTCCGGGAAGATCCCACGTGCCGCGGGGCGGCTGGGCCCGTGAGCCATGGCCGCTGAGCCTGCGCATCCGGAGCCTGTGCTCCACAACGGGAGAGGCTACAACAGTGAGAGGCCCACATACCGCAAAAAAAAAAAAAAAAAAAAAGTATATGAAATCTTTAATGACCTAATGTGCAAACTTTGCATTTGCCCTTAAATATCTACTGGTTTATTTTTATAATTTTTGTGTCTATACTGTTTGCAAGCAGTATGTGTGAATAGTCTTTACTATTAATAAAGAAACCAATTTGGATATAACCATTTTTTTTCATTTATAGTACTGGGTTTTTTTTACTAAAGATATCTTGAAGTGCTTCAGAAGTTTTATGAGTGCATCTCACAGTTCTGACGGTGATCTTGACAGAATTATATGTTCTTCGTTACCTTGTTTCAACGTCAGTGTTGCTTCAGCTCTATCAGTTTGATTGCTAAGGCTCCAAACTTCTGCTGTTACTCACTTCTCGCAAGACTGAACAGACCTGAAACCTTGAAAGATTTTTCTGGCTTCTCTTAATAAAATGGCTAAAATAGGCCAAAAAAGGCACAGGGGATGCAGGACAGACAATTACACTCTACAAACTTGGCATAATACTGAATTCCTTAGGCAGGGAGTTCTAAACCGGTTCTTGTGATACTCCAGAAACTTAACTTTCTTAGCATCATGTTTGCCATTTTAATATGTGAACATGTCATTCATACAAAAGATCAGTAAGTTCGAGGGATGGTGCATAGGTTTTACTTAAAAAAAAAAATTACTAACAAAACTTTAGAAATCTACAGTTGACCCTTGAACAACACAGGTTCGAATTGTGTGGGTCCACTTAAATGCAGATTCTTTCCAATAGTAAATACTACAGTACTACACAATGCACGGTTGGTTGAACCCACGGATATATAAAGAGAAACAGCATACACAGGGAGAGCCAACTATAAGTTACACTTGGATTTTTTTACTGTGCAGGTCAGCACTCCTAAACCCCACATTGTTTAAGGGTCAACTGTATTTTTCCCCCCAACCAATTCAAACCTGGAGCCAGCAGCAAGTTCACAATGTATTTTCCTACATTCTAGGAGGTGAGGTGACTCTTCCAGCTTAGTCCTGAGTGGCTCTCAGATATAACAGTGAGTCATGAGAGTCTGCCTCATCACAGACTGTGTCTCCTAAAAGCCAAGGGATAAACTGTCATGTAAATGACTTTCTCAGGCTTTTTGTAATTATTTGATCTCTCTCCCTTGGGAGAGTCTCCCATACTTTAATTTTTCAAATTGCTGTTAAGCCATGTTAATTCATGTTTGCTGAGAACTTACTAAGTAGAAGGCTCTATGCTAGGCAGTTGAGAGAATATGAAAATGTGATGTGAATTATCTAGTTGAGGGTTTAACAGCATTAAAAATTACAGAATCCTTAATGTGTTGAATAAAGTAAATTTGAAATAACTAACACTATGGAAAATATAACTTTAAGCATGAGTATAACAAAGCTCATTACCAAATTTTCATTATTTTGGCATATATCACTTGGGCCTCAAGTCTTAAGTATTTAGGTCCCCTAAATACCTTTAGCATCTTTACTTTTGCTACCCAAAGTGTGGTCCTCAAAATGGCAGCATCAGCATCTCCTGGGAACTTAAGAAATGCTTGGGCCCTTACTCAGGCATCTGAATCAATCTGCATTTTAACTAAATCTCCAGATGTTCTGGTACACATTAAAAAGTATGGAAAGCAATGATGTATACAACTAAGCGATCAACATGTTAAAGTTAACAGTTCAGAAAATTTGACAGCTGAAAGTAAATAATCTTGAGTGGTACTTTTTTAAAAACTGCACAGGAAGAAAAAAATAAAAAATAAAAATAAATCCTGCATAGGATGTATTTGGGGGTATTTTTAATTATTTAGAAATGCTAGCATGCCAGTAAAGAAACTGGATTTAACATCAAATTACTTCACTGAGATCCTCACTGCCGTCATCAGTCAGTTACAGATGAAATCACATCACACCTTGAGTGTGCTATAAAGAAAAAAAGGAGGGTTTGAGAGCTACTGGCCTCAGTTTATTTCTTTGTCATCACCTCTGACCATACCTTCCCTGCGTTGTGCTTTCCACCATGACAGTAATTACTTGGGTCTACATGAATTAATTACTTGGGTTTTTCAATGTGCTGTGCTGTTTCTCTACTTAGTGCACTTGTTCAAGCTGTCCCTCTTGACTGAATTCTACCCCCTTTCCCCAGAAGACCTTCCCTATAAACCCTATGCATATCTTTATCATAGTTACTTAAGAGTTTATTGTAACCGTCATCCAAATTTCTGTCCTATCCTCCCCACATCTCTATGGGCCCAGCACACAGAAAGTGAACAGTGAATGAATGAATGAAGCAAATACCATTAAGACAGTCTCTCAAAGCTGCTATCATCTCATTCTCTCTACTTTGACAAAGCTGACCATCTCATTGAAGCTTTCTACTTCCTGGCTTCTGACACTTAGCTGTTCTCCCACCTTTCTTGGTGGCTCCTCCAACTCTAACTGGGGGGCATTTCATAAGGCTCACTCCTATTATTTCTGTAGTGAATCAGTATTACAGATGAACCACCAAGAATAATTTATAAGTTAGGATCCCAAAGCCTCCAGGAGAAAAAAGATTGGTAGGAAGAGGATCCTACAAAGGAAATATAAAATTCTATGCTTCTCATCTTAGACAAATAGTATTTTAAAAGATTTGCTTTTGCCATTACCATAGTAACATGCTCAGTGGAGAAATTGGAAATACGTATAAAAGCATTAAAAAGAAAAAATGGGGACTTCCCTGGTGGCGCAGTGGTTAAGAATCCGCCTGCCAATGAAGGGTACATGGGTTTGATCCCTGGTCCAGGAAGATCCCACATGCCACAGAGCAACTAAGCTCGTGCGCCACAACTACTGAAGCCTGCGTGCCTAGAGCCCGTGCTCCTCAACTAAAGAGGCCACCGAAGTGAGAAGACCATACACCGCTACGAAGAGTAGCCCCCGCTCGCCGCAACTAGAGAAAGCCCACGCGCAGTAATGAAGACCCAACGCAGCCAAAATGTATATATATATATATATATTAAAAAAAAAAAACCTCTCATCATACCCCCCAGAGAAAATCACAGTTAAAATGGATTTTTTTTTCCCTTCAGGATTTCTTCCATACCTCTTATATCAGTTCTGTCATCAATGTATTTGATTAAGATACACTGTAGTTAAGCACACAGGCTCTGGAGCCTGACTGCCTGAGTTTGTGTCCTAACTAACTCCATTACTTCCTAGCTACGTGGCCTTGGGCAAACTACTTAACCTCTGTTTCAGTTTCCTCATCTGTAAAATGGGAGTAACAATACTTATATGCTTGTTTATAAAGGATTGAAAGTGTTTATAAAGCACCTAGAAGAGTGCCTGGCACAAAATTAATACTGTATAAGTACTCACTAACATTATTTTGAAAGTTAACCATCTTTATATTGAATACATTACTAATAAAATTACAGGTGAGTTACCTAAAAAGCAATAAAGCAATAATTACATGAATAATGATCATGTATATTTAAAACAAAAAGCAAAACTCATCCTGAGGGACTTCCCTGGCCGTCCAGTGGTTAAGACACCATGCTTCCACTGCAGGGGGCACTGGTTTGATCCCTGGTCGGGGAACTAAGATCCTGCATGTGGCACAGCATGGCCAAAAAAACCCAAAAAACTCATCCTGATAAATCTCATCCTGATTCTGAAATTTAGGTGGGAGGTTAGTGATCTAGGAACAGAAACATACAGATAGACCTTATCACCCTCCAGAGGCTACTACCTATATACAGGTGTTCTAATCCCAAGTTTTAAAGTTTATATGTATATATATATATTTTTTGGAAAAGTATATTTTTAAAATAACTAAGGACAGAGAGATATAGAATGACACATCCCATCTATAATTAAGCTAAGGAGATGATTACTTGAGCTACTGATATTTCCCAAGAATGTTAAGTAAACAGGTTTACTCCATCTTTCCTAGAGGTTATAATGAATACATATTATACAATATATTCTTTAATTTGTTCTTTATAATAATTGTTCTTTAATGGTAATTATATTATTGTTTTTACCTTCTGAGCTACAGAACATCTGGTGAAGCAGATCAAGAAACCAGAAATGATAATGTACCTTCAAAGACATTCTTTCAGAAGGATACCCCACTGATTCATGTGATGCATTTGAGCTGGGAGCCGTTCGATTTGCAGATTGTGTCATCTGGTTGTTCCTGCATGCATTATACCACATGAAGAGGGTCCCTGTCTATTTCTGACACGATAATATTAATCTTATTCTCCAAGTAAGCATCCAGCATATCTCGAAGATCAGAAAGAAAGCCTCGTTCAGTGTTGCTATGTTCACAGAGGATCACATTTATTCCTTGGGAAGCAGCATCTAGAACATCATGATGGGACATCTCACCTGCCAACAAAAGAAAGAATAAATATTTAAATATTAGACACAGAGTCTGAGGAATGCTGAACCATAACAGCAGAAATACCAACTTTGCATTCTGTATGAAGCAAATGTAGTACACCAGAACTTTACATATAAATCTAGAAAGTTATATGCATGTTTCTTACATGTCCTCCAATTTAAAAAGAGATACGGAATTCCAAATTCTTTCTCCTTGGCAGATCCAAGGCAAGTAACCAAATTCACACATCCAACAGTATCTAATACTGCCATAACTAGACCTGTAGAAACACCCATTCAAAATGTTTCCACAATAAAATAAATGACCATTGCTAAGTAAAATGGGGCTTTCAAAAAGTTTCTTTCTTATGTAACTATTAAATAACAAATACCTCAAGAAAATCCTAGGCTTACAGTGATGTGAAGCCCACACACTGCAACGAAGAGTAGCCCCCACTCGACACAACTAGAGAAAGCCCGTGCGCAGCAACAAAGACCCAACGCAGCAATAATAAAATATAAAATGAATAAATAAATCTTTAAAAAAAAGAAAATCCTAGGCTTACTTCCCAGAGACTCCTTTACACTTTGTGAGTACCAAAATTTTCAGCATCAACCGTAGTCTAATTCATAAGGATGAAATGAACTTAAGGTTATTTCTAAATTAAAAGCAAGGTATTTTCCTTTGACTTAGGCAAAACGCCTAGGTATTTTCCTTTGACTTAGGCAAAACACCTAGAAGTTACTGGTGGAAGAGGATCTCATCTTTTGTGAAAAGATTTTGGGAAAACTCAAATGTTTTGAATTTTAAAAAACACCATGTATGAATCTGATGACTTCCAACTTAAAAGCAAAAATATATTATGCACAATTTGGCTTGTTCATAAAAAGCATAATTTTGAAATAAAAGACATAAACGCATTAAAAAAATGGTTCTTAGAAAAAAAAGCCCCCCTGCCCAAATCTTCAATTCCCCACACTCCCCCCTACCCAAATATGCATCATTTCATTATAAGGAATAGTTTTTATTCAGGTACCTTTTAAAACATCTTAATCTAAGTAACAGTAGAGAAAAAGTAAAAGGAGAAAAAGACACTAGGGTGGCTCAGTTAGAAGTCATGCTTTAGGAAAGACAATCTGGCTGCCTGGACTATTATAAATGCACTGGCTGGAGAAGGCATGGAAGTGGAAAAATCCATAAAGACCCTGCAGAAGACAAAGGAAAGAAAGGCTGGCTCAGGATGGCAGCTATGGGAAAGAAAAAGCAAATCAAAGACAATTTATATTTGCAAGGAGCAATCTCGCCATCTGCTGGTCTTTCTAGGATATTACCCTTTATGACCTAACACATCAAGCTCAAAGGAAGGGTGATGAAACCGGTCTATTGGCTAGGGCTTCCCATCCCTGAAGTTATATTCAAAGTGATGCCTCACAGACCGTAGACATCTTAAGTTAGCCAGATAAGAAGATATTTTCTGTTTCCCCAACTAACAAGATAGGAAGGACATTTTAACATTTTGGAACTGTGTGAATTTATCTTATGTACATATTGCTTTATAATAAAAAAACTAATTTAAAAAGTCATTATTTATGAAGAAACAGACACTCCAAACTGAGAGATATACAACAAAGCAAATGGCCTACACTCTTCAAAAATGTCAATGCTCTGAAGACAAAGTGTAGAACTATTCCAGAGGTAGTGTGTGATCATGGATTGGATATCAACCTGAAATCATCACAACATGGTCATATAAGAGAACATCCTTGTTCTTAGGAGATACAATGCTGAGGTATTTAGGGGTAAAATGTCACCGTATCTGCAATTTATTACAAAATGGTTTGGGAGGAAACATGTAAATATATAAATATAGGTATGCATACACAAATATATACACATATATTGTATGATATGTTAGAGAGAGAGAGAGAAAATGTACAAATGTGGCAAAATATAACCATTAGTAATCTAGGTGAAGGGTATACAGGAGTTCATTGTACTATTCTTGCAACTTTTCTATAGGTCTGAAATTCCTTCAAAGTAAAATGTTAAAATTTTAAAATAGAAACACCATGTTGTAAGATATCAAATTGCCTATACACTGAAAGTTTATTTCAATCTGGTATAAATTTGAGGGCTTATAAAAATCTTACCTCTTTTGAAGGATAGAAAAGAAAACAGGTAATGGTCACATACATTTTTAGTTGGTTCAAAAAATACATCATGCTTGCTCAGACGCTGCACCTCTATACTTAGGGATGTGACAATGTTTCAAGTGCAGCAGCCTCTGTAAGGGGGTGTGCTAGACAATCAGGCATGGGTGTGGGTGGCAGGAGAAGCCTTAGTAATGGAGGGCCCCATTATGGAGGGTAGCCAAAGGAACAGCCAGGGGCTTAAGACCCTTGAGTCTAGTCCTAGAAGTGGGAAAAGTAATCTTTAACCCCCAGTCTCCTAACCCTCAGGAGGCGCAGAGGTGGAAATACCGCTGGTAGCAGCAGTGTACAAAGTGCCTCCAACTCCTTGGAGGAATGATGGGCCAAGTTACCAGTTAGGTGTTACCCACAAGGACAGAGTATAAAGCCTGGGAGCCAAACAATTAACGTCCAATAAGAAATGCATACTGTAGGTTAAGAACAAAGTGACAGGAATCAAGAGAGGAAGTCATGACCACCAGGGGCAGGAGCTGGACACTGTCAAGAAAAAGCTTCTCAGGGGAGGTGTCTCTGAGCTTTTACCACTAGAAGTTTAAGAAAGGGGCAGGGCTTCCCTGGTGGCACAGTGGTTGAGAGTCCGCCTGCCGATGCAGGGGACGCGGGTCCGTGCCCCGGTCTGGGAAGATCCCACATGCCGCGGAGGAGCTGGGCCCGTGAGCCATGGCCGCTGAGCCTGCGTGTCCGGTGGGGCAAAGAGAAGACAGCTTAGCCAGGGAAAACAGCATGAGCAAAGGCTGCATGAAAGAGGATGAAACATTTAGGCTTCACCAGGACAGCTGAAGGAGATCACTGAAGGGTTTTTAGCCTGGATAATATTATCCACCATCATATTTGTACTTTTGAAAGTTAGGTTTGTGGGAGTGTGTAGAAGATTAAGATTAGAAGCTTGATGAAGTACTTCAGGTAGAGGATGCCCAGATGGAGATACAGAGAAAAGTTCTAGAAAGATTTTGGAGTTACAACTGATAGAAACTGATGATTGTCTTTAGGGCTGAGTAAGAGGAACCATTTTCTACCTAAGACGACAAGGTAGAAAGTGTCCCATTAACTTACATATGAAACCTGAGAAAATCATGTTTAGGAAGAAGTTAGGTTAAATAAGTGCTGAACATCAGTTTTTTAGATAATCTAATTGTTTAACGATTTTTTCCCCTCCACAAAGAATATGGTATGTTCCCAATTTTGGCATAGTCCCTATTTATTTCGGGTTCAAGTAACAGATCCATCTATATGTCAGATGCTGTCCTAAAGCCTGCTATTATTAGATCCATCTATATGTCAGATGATGTCCTAAAATATGCTTTTTTTTTTTGCGGTACGCAGGCCTCTCACTGTTGTGGCCTCTCCAGTTGCGAAGCACAGGCTCCGGACGCACAGGCCCAGCGGCCATGGCTCACGGGCCCAGCCGCTCTGCAGCATGTGGGATCTTCCCGGACCAGGGCACGAACCCATGTCCCCTGCATCGGCAGGTGGACTCTCAACCACTGCACCACCAGGGAAGCCCTATGCTATTTTTTAACTTGAAAAAAAATAAACCAAGGTAGGGAAGGGATGCACAAGAAAAGGGTAGAAAAAAGATCCAAAGGCTGTCCTACCTGTGAGGTAGAGGTCGGCCTCTGTTCCCTGAAGGACACTGCTCCCAGAACCAGCACACACGGCCACGACTTTGACTGCGGACTCTTCCAGATAAAGGAAACAAGAGGCCACTACTTTATAATTCCCCTTCATTTTAATATTATAATTTGTACAGAGAATCCTAAGTGTAATGCAGATTTCACTCCTAGTCTCATCACCAGTACGTGAATTTTGCTTACCAAGTTTTAAAAAATAATAAAAAACATCTTCACATAGGCAAACAGACTATTCCTTGGCATTGCAGAGCTAACCCAAGGCAGCATTATTATTCCTTCAGATGTACGTCGCTGCAGAAGCCCACATAAGGCACCCCTGAAGAGTATCAACCACTATTAGCACTAGGCTTTGGGCTTCACTGCAATGCTACTCAGTAAAGCAACCTCACCCGGGTCTCCAGGTAACAGTGAGAGGTAAGCAGGTAACTCTCTGTTCCCAGGTAAGGAAGCTAAGGAACTAAAAGGGCTCGTTAGAGGATGCTATGAATGGATTTGACACACATTTTTTTTAATATCGTATTGATCCTGAAAGAGCATCCTCTGAAGAGTGAAATACAGAATCTTTCAAGCCAAAAGTCAGTAAGTGTTTAGCACTTAGGTTTCTAGAATGGACACTTCATTAGTGGTATTTCAAAAGAGTGGCACTGGAGCTGGTCAGAAGTCCAATCCCATCTCTGCCACCAATGCTTTTTGGAAACAAACACTCATGAGTTGTTTGATCTAGCTGTGGACTTTGGATAAGTTTCTCTCCAAACCTCAATTTTTTTCACCTGTACAATGGGAATAATAACACCTCCCAGACAGCTAACGATGGCCAGCATTTACTGCACTTAATGTGTGCCAGTCACATGAATGATACCACCACCTCGATGAGTTAGGTTTTATTATTTCTGCAGTTTTTACAGACGAGGCTACCAGGACACAGGGGGTTAAACAGCCTGTCCAAGTCATGCAGCAGACAGGACAAACGTGAACCCAAGGCGTTCAGATTCCACATTCATAACACCTGCGCTCTACTCGCTGCCTTCACAGTGGGAACTCACATACTCAGGACACTAGGTACAGTGCTAGGCTCACTGCAGGGGTCCAACAAATGTTCTGTCCGTTCCTTTTGTTACCCAAAATACTGGGGAAAGCCAAGAGAAAAGGCAGTGGCTACAAAACTCAGAAACTGCACTGGATCACATCACTCAGCACTACCTCACTATAAAATATTGCCAGTATTGTAAAATGTAAGATTTGCATTGTAACTGGAGCAATCACAATTTCCAGCTTTCTTCCTGGATATTGGTAGGATTGCACTTCATGCTCTCCCTGGGTTGAGTAATTCTGGACAATGAATTGAACAGAATATGTATTTCCAGACTAGAATGTTTAACTGATGGTTTGAGACCCTCCCTCTGCAACAGTAACCAGTCTACAATGAGCAAACTTCCCCCACCGATTTGAGATGAATGTGGAGTGTGCCTGAGAAATAAATCGTGTTTAGGCCAATGAGATGTATATCACAGTATAACCTCAACCACCCTGATCGATAAAGTAAAGCAGTCATCTCCTGTGAGCTGCTAACACGTTTCTTAACACGTTTCTATCATCTATACTGACACAGCCAAGAGTTTCAATTTTTGCCCAACAGTATCAGTGAGTATACTGGACAAATAAAGGAGACATATTTACCTAAGGTCTTCCCTACTCCAAGAGCAAGGCGAACATGAGACAGTTTTAGGTGCCTTTTGATTTGCTCAATCATGGTTGCCAAGGAGACAGACTCATCCAGGGTGCATAACCGTCCCATCCCAGTATGTAGAAGCAGAGGCTGAAGAGAAACAAATTAGAAAAACTGTACATCACCAGTCCTAGAAACCAAATCCATAGAACAGACAGCAAATGCCGAGATCAATAAAACAAGCATATTGGGTTTCCCTGGTGGCGCAGTGGGTGAAAGTCCGCCTGCTGATGCAGGGGACACGGGGTTCGTGCCCCGGTCCGGGAAGATCCCACATGCCGTGGAGCGGCTGGGCCCGTGAGCCATGGCCACTAAGCCTGCGCGTCCGGAGCCTGTGCTCTGCAACAGGAGAGGCCACGACAGTGAGAGGCCCGTGTACCGCAAAAAAAAAAAAAAAAAAAAAAAAAGCATATTATCAGCTTGCTATAAAACCAGCTCCAGGCTAAAATTTGGGGATGCAAACCTGACAAAAACATTCTCTGACTTCTAGGAGCTCAGTCTCCTGGGAAGGCAGATGTTTAAACAATGAAAATAAAAGTGTTTTTAAATACAAAGTAGGTATTGTTTTTTTCTGGGAGCACGAAGGAATGACAAAATAAATGAGTTGAGACTAGGGGAGGTGGGTACTTGGACTAAGTGGAGTCAAACAAGGTTCTACAACGACTTGGGTTTCGAAGACAGACCAGAAAGGAGTTAAAAAAGGAGTGATGTCAAGTGCAGTGTGGTGGGTTAGGGACAGGGTGAGATGTGGAGAGGCATTCTAAAGAGAGAGATCACGTACAAAGGTGCCAAGGTGGGAGAGACCGCACAGGGCAGATGGAAAAGCAGACAGTGTAGCTGGTATACAGAGCAAGGGATGCGGATGGAGAAGACGTGGAGACAGGGGTCCTTGCCAGTCATGAAGGGCTTCACACTCTAAGCTAAAAAGCCTGGATTGTCTCCTGTAGGCGCCCACTCAGGAGACTACTCATATCCCAAGTGAGAGAAGATGAGAGTTTCAACTACTGTGGTGGCGAAGCAAACAGAGAGGAGAAACATTTGTAGATTTAGGGACAGAATCAGCAGGGCTTGGATTTACAGGGGCAAGGGAGAGTTGTGCAAACCGCAAATAAGATAGATGATGATGCCACCAATAAAACGGAAAAAAGTGGTATTTAAAGGCGTGGTATGGGGATAAGGTCAATACTTGTATATATTGGATTTTAAATACTTGTAAGAGTCATAAGTGGAAAATGTTCAGAAAGTGGCTGGAAATATAGGTTCTTTTAAAATTTTTTATCTTTTACCTTAAGAAAGCATTCTGAGACAGGAAGTAAAGACATAGGAATCATCATACAAACGGCTGTCAAGTTAAAAGAATGAATAAAAACGGTCCAGGCATAGGGTATAAGATAAGAGACTGAACCTGTAACTGAGTCTCTAATCCTGAAGAAGTACCACTATGGTCTAAATGTTTCCGTCCCCCTCAAATTCATAGGTTGAAATCCTAACCTACGGATTAGGAGGTGTAGCCTTTAGGAGGTACTTAAGTCATGAGGCTGGAACCCACACGAATGGGATTAGTGCTTTAGAAAAGAGGCTCCAGAGAGATCCTTAGTCCCCTCCACCATGTGAGAACACAGAGGGAAGGCACCATCTTTGAACCACAAAGTGAACTCCCACCAGACACCACTCCAAATCTACCAGTGCCATGATCTTGGACTTTCCAGCCTCCAAAACTGTGAGAAGTAACTTTCTGTTGTTTATAAGCTATCCAGTCTGTGGCACTCTGTTATAGCAGTCCAAACATGTTATAGTAGCCCGAACGGACTAAGACAAGTTCCAACATTTTCTTATTCCTGAAACGTCTCCGTTTTTTTTTTGTTTTTTTTTTTTGTTTTCTTTTTTTTTTGCGGTACGCGGGCCTCTCACTGTTGTGGCCTCTCCCGTTGCAGAGCACAGGCTCCGGACGCACAGGCTCAGCGGCCATGGCTCACGGGTCCAGCCGCTCCGCGGCATGTGGGATCTTCCCGGACCGGGGCACGAACCCGCGTCCCCTACATCGGCAGGCGGACTCTCAACCACTGCGCCACCAGGAAAGCCCACGTCTCCAGTTTTAAATATACTTTCCAGGGCATGACATGCCCTCAATCACCACTTTATATCTAATAATTTACATATGAATTGTCAAACAAAAATGCACAGTAACATGTTTTTTATTACCTTCTCCAGTGACAGAATTTCAGTCTTCTGATAATATTGTCTGTTCTGGGAAAGAAAAGCCACCACCTGCATTAAAGCTTGCTGAGTACAATTCAGACTGAGCCGTGTTTGTTCTTCATCATCAGACCTAGAAAAAAAGTCACTTCCTGGTTTAGGATAAATATAAACAATGTATTTAAAAGAATCCACAGTTTACAACCTCCTATAATAGGAGATCAGATTTATATGGAATTTAGGACTTAATTCCAAGCCAAACTATTTTCTAGAATAGTGTTTCTCAAACTTTCACATGCATCAAAATCATCTCATGGCCTTATTAAAACAGACTGCTGGGCCCTACCCCCAGAGTTTCTAGTTCAGTAGGTCCGAGTGGGGGCTAAGAATTTATCTTTCTAACAAGTTCCAGGTGATGCTGATGTTGCTGGTCCAGGGACCTCACTCTGAAACCCCTGTTCTAGAACAGTTCTTAGTCCTGGTTGTGCATCAGAAATCTCCTGCTGTCTTCTTAAAATAACAGCTGCTGGACCCTTCCACAGATCCAGTGAAACAGAACATCTATGAATGGGGCTGGGGCCCTAGAAAAGTTAATTTTCAAACATCATTGAATACAAGAATCTCCTGGACAGATCCTCAGGCAAACCCCATTCTAATTACACAGATCTAGGATAAAGCCCAAAATCTGCATTTTTCATAAGCACCCGTTAGCAATGATTCAGAGGTCCCTGAATCACCCTTTAAAAAGCAATGCCCTTAAAAATAAATAAATAAATAAAATAAAAAAAGCAATGCCCTTGGGAATTCCCTGGTGGTTCTGTGGTTAGGACACGGTGCTTTCACTGCTGGGGTCCGGGTTCAATCCCTTCAATCCCTGGATCCCTGGTTGGGGAACTAAGATCCTGTAAGCCGTGGGGCACAGCCCAAAAAAAAAAAAAAAACCAATGCCCCAGAGCCTCTCCAAAACAACTAGCACCAAGAAAGTTTTGTATTTAACCATATACTCTAAATATAATCATAGAATTCTAGAACTAAGACACCTTACAAGACAATGTGGAAGTGTAGTTTCAACACTGGAACCATCTGTAGAGATTTGAAAAGAAAAAGCAAAAACAATGCCTGGCCCCCAATCTAATGGTAAATCCCCGATATTACCTGTAATATGGAGAAACTGGAACCAAACTAAATGTGCATCAGTGTTTTAAAAAGTCCATCAGTTAGGAAGAGGAATACTTCAAGAAATTACAGTACATTCATAATAAACACTGTGTAGCAATTAAAAAGAGAGACATACATGGATAGATTTCTAAGACATCTTAAGTTAAAAAGACAAATACAGCATACCATTTAATTAAGAAAGCAATGAATAAGACAAAACTACACATTTCTTTGTGTCCCTATACATGTTTGGAAAGATACCCACTTCTCTGAAAACAAAGGAAAAGACAACTTGAGTTGAAGATACTGGGATTGAGTAGAGGGGACAAGGAGAACTTTTGTATTGCTTAAATTTTTCATGCTTTATTTGTATAATTTTAATTTCAGTATTTACACAGTATTTCAGTATGGTAAAAGACACCATGACTGGAACCTATGCAAAATCTTATAAACAATTTTTCTTAAGATTCTTGGAATTCCCCAATATTATTAGAGGACATTTACTACGATTTTACTATAATGTATCTACACTTAAAAACCACTCATCAAAGAGTCATTTTTGGGCTTCCCTGGTGGCACAGTGGTTGAGAGTCCGCCTGCCGATGCAGGGGACACAGGTTCGTGCAACAGATTTCCATTTTATAAAAAAGTCATTGTACCTATCGTTTTTTTTTAACAATTATTAAGTCCTAGTTTTGTATAACTTGTCTTTTACGATGCTTTAGTAGGTATTAGGGTAAATCAGCCCCCAAAAAAATCTCTAATGAAGCAACATTTTTTTTTTAATTAATTAATTTATTTATTTTTGGCTGCATTGGGTCTTCGTTGCTGTGCAGCAACCGGGGGCTACTCTTCGTTACGGTGCGCAGGCTTCTCATTGCAGTGGCTTCTCTTGCTGCGGAGCATGGGCTCTAGGTGTGCGGGCTTCAGTAGTTGTGGCATGCGGGCTTAGTTGCTCCACGGCATGTGGGATCTTCCCGGACCAGGGTTCGAACCCGTGTCCCCTGCACTGGCAGGCGGATTCTTAACTCCTGCGCCACCAGGGATGTCCCTGAAGCAACCTTTTGGTATCTCAGCCCTAATTAAATAAATGATTGACCTTCCAAGAGGCACTTTAATGTATTTTTCTTTTCAAGTGTTTGGGAATCATCATTTGCTGGGAACTGATAAAAGTAAACCTATGTTATCAGCATATAACTAGGGTATATCTGCATACCCTAAGGTAAAAATAACTTTCAACATTGCCAGGAGGATTAGAAATACTGTAGGATGTGTGATATAGTCTCTCCCACATAGAAAATTTTTATTTTTTTGCTTTGAAAAGATCCCATGGTTCTCCTTAGGGACCTGCAGGCAAATGAGAATTATGCTGCTTTGTAAACCCACCCTAGGAAAGTGATTTGCTGCAAACTTAAATAACAGAGTTATAGAATCTGTAAGAAAGATTCTTACAAATTAATATACACAAAAAGAGGAAAAGATATTGTACCTAGCAGAAAAAGAAGTGACAGATACACCTGCAATTCCTTTCACTGCAGAAATGACTTTGTCCAGGTCTTGGGTGTGGGTAACATTGAATTCTACTCTGTGTGTTCCCTCCGTGGGGTAGTCAGGAGCTCTGGAAGCATGGATGGGCCTGGAGGTGCAAACTCCTAGAAAGAAAAAATTGTCAGAAATTGGAGTTTTTGTGGGTTTATTTAAAAATTAGAAAGATAAACCACTATGGGCAAAACTTCTAAGAAATGAGTATTTTTGAAAAGATTCATTCTCAGATGCTTATATAATATACACACACATACATATCCCTTATATATACATTCAACAATCCCCGTAATTTAGGGATTTAGTACAGACATACATAATCCAATTTATTTTCAGATTTTCCAGAAGACTCGTAAATATCACAAAAAGTTGGACAAGACTGACTCATGAATTTTTACATAACATATAGAATTGTGACTGCTTACTAAATTTACTCATGTAAACTATGATTCAAGTCGCAGATGTTCATAATTTACTTGACCACAGTAATCCAGATTTTATCATCACAGAAGCTTCAGCCCAAAATGAGTAAACTAAAAAGACTTGCTAAAACACATATGCTGAATTCCCTCATTGTGCTGGGCATAAGGACTAATTCAATAAAACTCTATTTGATTGACATATGAAGTATATTTTGGAGAGGCTTGAAGCTTTCAGTTCAGTTTAACAAGCGTTTCTGGAGTGCCTGAGTGCCAGGCACTGTGCCACATGAGTAAGGAATCACAAAGCTCGATCAAAAATGAAGACTTCCTATGCTGTCCTTGTTCACTAAGGATAAAAATTTCATTTTTCAAATGCAATTTAATTGCAAGATTTCAGCAAGATTATTTTAAAATATATGAAAGTAGAATAATGGTCCCCATCCCTAAAGCAGTTAAAACACTACTGGAAATACATTCTAAAATTTCAAAGCACTGGTAGGGAAAATACTGAATATGAAAGAACAAGAGGCTTCTCACCAAGCCCTTTAGCCAGCCAGTTGTTGACTCCCTGCGGAGCAGCATCATAGGCCGTGTGAGGAGAGTAGATCCCGACTCTGTTCTCCAGTGCCCGGATCACCAGGCGCTCTTTCCAGGTTTTCCAGGTGATGCGCTTCATAGGTCGGAAAATGGGTGGATGGTAGGAGAGAATGAGATCTGCCTTCTTCTGCAGTGCCTCCTCCATCACTTCTTCTGTCAAATCATTGGTTAGGAAGAGCGTGTTTACAGTGTGTGGTGGGCTTGGTTCCACCAGTAATCCAACATTGTCCCAACTCTCAGCAAATGAGAGGGATGCAAAGTCATTCAAGGAGGAAAGGAGAGTCTTTAGATCCATGAAGGAACGGGAAGAACTGCAGATCAGGGAATGGATTAGGCGGACTGTCGTGGGGACCAGGCGTACACGAGATGACAACATGCAGAAGTCAGGTAAAACTGAGTATCTGAAGTCAAAACACAGAAAATGGACCTTTGAGACAGCAAAGCATATGAGCAAAAGAGCTGTAGTCCTACGTGCCTGGCTTCAAATACTGGCTCTGCCACTTACTGGCACATGGTATCATAGGTAAGTCATTTAACCTCTCTGAGCTTGTTTTCTCATCTACAAAATGGAGACACTATAACTTACCTCACAGGCCGTCTGGAGGAGTAAATGGATTAATATGCTTAAGTCACCTTGCACAAACCTGGTGCACAACACACAATTATGTTCCCTTCCTCCTCCCTGCCCCCTCCCACACACCCTTGTTCTTTTTTTTTTTTTTTTTTCGGTACGCAGGCCTCTCACTGCCGTGGCCTCTCCCGCTGCAGAGCACAGGCTCCGGACGCACAGGCTCAGCGGCCATGGCTCATGGGCCCAGCCGCTCCGCGGCATGTGGGATCTTCCCGGACCAGGGCACGAACCCGTGTCCCCTGCATCGGCAGGCGGACACCCAACCACTGCGCCCCCAGGGAAACCCACACCCTTGTTCTTGTTCTCCCCACCTGTGCTTCAACCACCCTTCTCCATTTCTCTAAATATTACCCTTCCTTCCAAGACCCTTTCGACTTCCTAAATAAAGCTTTTCTTGACAAACCTTCCTTTTCAGTGTCGTCCCTCTCCCTGTCCCACCTGCTTTTGCACTAGTTATTCTCATAATATTATATTCCTGTTTGTCTGTCTCCCCCACTACGCTAAAGTTACTGGAGGACAGAAACTACCTTTTCTGTATCTCAGGATGACCAACATAGGCCAGCACTAAATGCTTACTATACAGACTGACACAGTCCCGCTTCCCCCATCATAGCAGAATTTGGAGTTAGGGTGGTACATACTGACATTAAAAAGTGCTTTATCAAAAGAGTAACAATAACATATTTAAAAAGTTAAGTGTTTTGTACGGACACCAAGGGGGGAAAGTGGCGGGGTATGGGTGGTGGTAGGATGAACTGGGAGATTGGGATTGACATGTATACACTAATATGTATAAAGTAGATAACTAATAAGAAACTGCTGTATAAAAAATAAATAAAATAAAATTCAAAAAAATATATTAGTTTAAAAAAAAAAAGTTAAGTGTTTTATCGGCAGCCAGAACCATGGGATGCACAGGTGAGTCACTCTGTGAATGGGTAGGGTCAAGGCAGGAAAGGGCAGGAGCTGCTGCCCCTGAGCCAACAGCTACCTGCCACACAAAGGCCAGAATCAAGAGGTGGGAGAGGTGAAGATGTAAGGGCCCACACAGTCTGTAAGCCTTATAGACATCTATATCCAATACAAAACACTGTCTGCTCCATTCTTAAATGTAGTATCTATGAACACTTTTGTTTTTGAAGAAAAGCATTTCATGGTATGCAAAATAATTAACAAGAAAGCATAGTCAATTGTAAATTTAATGAAATACTCATAACTCAATTTCAAAAGCAAATTTTTTTCAATATTTGTATGCAGAAATATTTAATATTGGGACTTCCCTGGTGGCACAGTGGTTACGAATCAGCCTGCCAATGCAGGGGACACGGGTTCCAGACCTGGTCCGGGAAGATCCCACCGGCCATGGAACAACTAAGCCCGTGCTCCACAACTATTGCGCCCTCGCTCTAGAGCCCGTGAGCCACAACTACTGAAGCCCACATGCCTAGAGCCTGGGCTCCGCAACAAGAGAAGCCACCGCAAGGAGAAGCCTGCGCACCGCAACCAAGAGTAGCCCACGCTCGCCGCAAGTAGAGAAAGCCTGCGTGCAGCAACGAAGACCCAATGCAGACAAAAATAAAATAAAATAATAAAAAAAGAAATATTTAATGCACTTATTCAATATACAGTTTGGAGTGAGGTGGAACCACTCGAACCTGGGGTCTTGGAAGATCTTCTAAGGGTCCTTATACCACTTCCACTCTCCAGATTCCACGTCCTGATACTACTCCACTCTCCAGACTCTTCTAAATCTGGCAAGCCCTAAAGTGAAGCTCTAATGGGCCACCACGCCGGTTCTGTTACCTACTGTTACATTTGAAGGAGCCATTGTAAGTAACAAAACACTCCCCATTTCCTACGAAGCTGAGTAGCTTTAAGTCACAATTAACGAGAATGGGAGGCGGCAGAGCATGGTGGGAAGAGCACCGACCGACTCTAAAACCAGACTGACTCCCAAAGCCACAGCTGTCTCTGAGGACTCTACCTCTGTGGTTTCCACCTCTGAAGGGTGCAAATAATAGTGCTCAGCTTACAGCGTGGTTGCAAGATTTAACCGTGAAGCTGGGAACAATGCCTGGCCTAGAGTCTGCACTATTTATTATTAAGATTCATTAGCAAGGCCCACTTTACAGCCTGCAAACTGCGCCCTCTTGTTTCAGTCCCCCTTCAGGCCTTTTCTAGAACAATGAAGAGCGCAGATGGCACAGCCGATAAGTCCGTAAGTTAAGTCCCCGGCCCCTCTAGAGCGCTATGCTCTCCCGCGGCAAGCCAGTTTTCTGCGCCTATCTCCTCCCCCGCCACCTTTCGCTGTAGCAGGTTCGTAAACCACAGCGCGCCGCCATGGCCTCAGCTACTCACGCTGAAACTTAACCCGCCCAAGACTCACCAGCCCCGGGAACTCCGCGAGCGCTATTTCCGGTCCTGCGCGGAAGTTCCCGGCTTCGTGAAAGTGGGCGGGGCGGGGGAGCCGGTCGGAGGTGGTCTTTCCGGCTTTGCGACTGAGCCCAAGGCACTTCTAGAGAATGACCAGAGTTACGCTTGTTGTCCTAGTGTAATTATTAAAAGATAATTTTGACCCTTTCATAGTCAAAAGTGTACCTGGTGGGGAGAAATTAGTGTCTCCCTAGTTCTAGTCGTTTGGTTTGAGACAGGGAGGAGGGGGCGGAGGGAGGAGGCGAGCAGGTGAGGGGCGTTCTCTCTAATAGGTCCCTTGCTCGACCTCCGGTGGCCTGAAGAAACTTAATTTCGAATCTGCAGACCCGTGGGGGCAACTGCGATTGTACCTTTGCTCTTTTAACAACCGCTGTGCTAATCGAAGTGGTTAAGTAAGTATGGGGTAACGTCACTTATTCTTTCATTCACTTAACTCAAATGCTCGCAGAGCGCTGTGTATGTTAGTTCTTGGACTGCTTCCAGTGAGTATTCTGTACGGGGAGGGTGTTGTTGAAATAAGACAATTAGTAAAGCATAGAGTATATTAGTGCTAAGTGCTATGGAAAAGGAAATCGTTAAGGCAGGTTTAAATAGAGTTATCAGGTCCAGACCAGACTTTCGAGAAGAGACTTGGAGGTGAGGAAAATAGCCGTACAGATGTCTGAGTGTACGTGTTCCAGGCAAGGGGAACACCCAGTGCTTAGACCCCAAGGCGGGAATGTACCCGGCCCGTGAAGAGTGAGCAGTGGAAGTAGGAGTTGAGGGGCTTGAGACGAGTAGTATCGCCTGATCGCTTTCATAACCGGGTTTTTATTACTTGGGGCAGGATGGGTGCTCATCGAGACTTTTTCTCTTAAATATGCGGTAAAGATGAGCAAGTGTGAGTTAAGAGAGGGAAGTGAATTTAATTGTTTTTTCTTTTGGAAATAGAGGCTCGTTTTTGAACTTCTCTCAGTAAACTGAGAAAGTAACAGTACTTCCTGAAAGCATCAAGAAGAAAAATGGTAAATTTTACAGAATTCTTATGAATGTCTTTCATTATAAGTAATTTTTAGAAATTCAGTCAAGGGAAATAAAACTGCATGGAAATTTCAGTGACAAAACAGAGCAATGATAATCTGTAGAAGCATACAGTGTAAAGTGATTTCAGATTCTTTATGTTTTTCACTTAAAACACAGAATTTACCTTTTATGGAAAAAGATTGATACAAGATGGATAGAGATGGAAAGGTGGTGTTGCAGGGTCAGAAGAGCATAGCCAGGTGTGGTCATTTTGATTGGATCCTTTTGCTCTTGATCTAAGGTGGACAACTATTGTAAGAAGAGAATTTTAAAAGGAAGCCTCAGAAGTTTTCCACCCTCTCTGGAATGGGGTAACAAAAGGAATATTCTAGCTACCAAAACAACAGATTAAACAAAAAGCAAGCAAGAAGAAGTACTCTGGTTACCTTTGCACTTTTACGATCTGAAAACACTGACGCTTTTTATGTCTGTTGTCTTTAGTGGAGAAAGAAATTGTTTTTTAAGTCTCTCGCAATTAAATTACATAAGGGAGATGGTGGAAACTATGTTTGTAAAAGTCATTTTCTTACTATTTTTCAATATATATTAATGACTTAGTGAATTGCCACTTAAGTCAGTAATACATAAAAACTTTTTATTTTTATTGATGAAATATTCAAACTTAAAATGATTATTTCCATCACAATATTTGCTCCCAAATATTTTAGCATAGATATCATTTTACCTTAACATTTATATTTCTCTTCTGGAATTTTTTTTCTACTGCTGAAATAAATTTTGAAGAAATACAACTTATCTCTCAGAGATACTGTGTGGGTGGATCATCTCTGAAATGGTGTTTCTTTCTGTTTTTATTCAGGTAGTTATCTTTAATATCTAGTTAGGGAAATGATACAGTGCACAAAGTCACCTGAAGAAATCTCATTCGTTCTCACATTCTCTCTCCTTTTTAGTCGGTGACACTGCATACAGATGTAGGTGATATTAAAATCGAAGTCTTCTGTGAGAGGACACCCAAAACATGTGAAGTGAGTAGCGTAATGTATGTATAAAAGATGAGTTAATGCAACAGGATAACCATTTTGAAATTGAGTCATCTAACTTAAACAACATCCAAAAAAAAGTTTCTATAAAACTATTGTCAAGAAAAACCCACAATGATAATTTCTGGTCTAATTTACACTTCTTTTTCTGATGTCAAAGTTGGATCAAAGAAAGGGTAGAGAATTTTTCTCTAACCACAGAGTGGCTGGTATCTTTTTCCTTTGGCTCATTTTCCTCAAGAAATGTAAATAATCATTAGATATTAGGTAAGAGAACTGTTCCATACATTATTTTACTTGTTTAAATGACAAGGTTCTATCCTTGTCATTTAAACAAGGAAAAAAGAGGCGGTCCCTGGCGGTCCAGTGGTTAGGACTTGGTGCTTTCACTGCCATGGCCCAGGTTCAGTCCCTGGTCAGGGAACTAAGATCCTGCAAGCTTCGTGGCTCAGCCAAAAAAAAAAAAAAAGAGAGAGAAATACAAGAAGGAAAAAGAGTCAGCTATATATATTCATTCATTAAGTAATTTATTTATGGAAGGCTATCTTGCCAGCAACTAGAACTACAGTGATGAACAAGAGACATGGCTTGCTATTGTGGAGCTAATATTCTACCCGGGAAGATAGGCAGGGGGGAAGATTCATTCTAGAAAAAAAGTAATTCTAGAGGGTAATAATGCTTTGAAGGAAATAAAGTTGTGAGATAGAGAATAATGGGAAAGGATTTATTTAAAAGAAGGTGAGGGCAAGCCTAGCCAAGAAAGTGATGCTTTAAAAACAGTGCGAAGGCTTCCCTGGTGGCGCAGTGGTTGAGAGTCTGCCTGCCGATGCAGGGGACACGGGTTCGTGCCCCTGTCGGGGAAGATCCCACATGCTGTGGAGCAGCTGGGCCCGTGAGCCATGGCCGCTGAGCCTGCGTGTCCGGAGCCTGTGCTCCGCAACGGGAAAGGCCACAACAGTGAGAGGACCGCGTACCGCAAAAAAAAAACAACAAAAAACTGAGTGTGAAAGGTAATGAAGGCATCTCTCTGGAAGGACTTATAAAAAGAACATTCCAGGTATAGAAATAGCAGGTACAAGGGCCTTAAGGTGGGAAAGCCTGTGTTTTTTGGATGAATTTTCAGAAGCCTGATGGGGTTAACACAGCAAGCAGCAGGGAAGGGGTTATTATCATTATGATGATGTAGAAGTAGGCTGGGTCATGCAGGGCTTGCTAGGCTCTCCTGAGGATTTTGCATTTTATTTCAAGAACAGAAGGAAGCTATTGAAGAGTTTTAGGCAGTGACATTATCCAAAGTAATGCCTAAAAGATATCATTTAAATAGGTTGTTGTAGTGTTTTCAATAAATACAATTGGCTTTTTTTGTTTGTTTGTTTGGCTGTGTTGTGTCTTTGTTAATGTGCGCAGGCTTTCTCTAGTTGTGGTGAGTGGGCTTCTCATTGCAGTGACTTCTCTTGTTGTGGAGCATGGTCTCTAGGTGTGCGGGCTCCAGGGCTCAGGCTCAGTAGTTGTGGCACACAGGCTTAGTTGCTCCGCGGCATGTGGGATCTTCCTGGACCAGGGCTCGAACCTATGTCCCCTGCATTGGCAGGCAGATTCTTAACCACTGTGCCACCAGGGAAGTCCCTACAATTGGTTCTTTATCTTAAATATTCTTAAATCTTAAATGGTTCTTATCTTCTGCTACATCATTTCTCAATCATTGTTTTTATTCTCTTCAGAATTTCTTGGCTCTTTGTGCCAGTAATTACTACAATGGCTGTATATTTCATAGAAATATCAAGGGTTTCATGGTTCAAACAGGAGATCCAACAGGTAAGTTATTCCAGTAATACCTAGGGTGTATACCTAGGGTATGTAGTGTGAAGAAGAGACTAGACAAAGAAGAGAAAAATAAAAGCATGTGGGGTTTTTATAACTTACCTTAGCAAGAAATTTTTAAGCAGAAGGTACTAGCACCGAGCCCTAAAGTATGAACAATATTGATAAGGAGGGGTTTTGGTTTTTGTAGAGATATTTTATTTTTATGGTTTTTAAAGTTCAATTTTGGTAAGTGAGGACGTACCAAATTTTATTTGTATTTAAAGGGTTATGCTATATAAACTAGCCCTTATGTTTAGAAAATGAACCCTTTTTCAGCTTTAATTAAATACTTTCTTTCATTTGTTCGTCTTGTAATATAGGTACTGGAAGAGGAGGTAGCAGTATCTGGGGCAAGAAATTTGAAGATGAATACAGTGAATATCTTAAGGTAAATCCAAAATACTTCAAAATCTATTTTTTCATGCTATGTTTACACTTGGAAACTTTGATACATATGTTGTAATAATACAGGTTAAAATAATTGGGCTTCCCTGGTGGCGCAGTGGTTGAGAGTCTGCCTGCCAATGCAGGGGACACGGGTTTGTGCCCCAGTCTGGGAAGATCCCACATGCCGCGGAGCGGCTGGGCCCGTGGGCCGTGGCCACTGAGCCTGCGCATCTGGTGCCTGTGTTCCGCAACGGGAGAGGCCACAACAGTGAGAGGCCCGCGTACCGCAAAAAAAAAAAAAAAAAAAAAGTCATCCTTTTTCTGAATTGGAAATGAAATGATTTTTTAGGCATTAATGAATGACTGCTTCCTTGGTACTAATCTGTCATCCTATGCCAGTGGTTTTCAAACTTTGCTGTTACAGATTCACCTGTGGAAGTTTTAAAACTATAAAAGATTAGGGCCTTACCTCCCTAAGTCTAGAGAAAAAGTCAGTAGAACTGATTAGGACCTCGATTGTATTTTAAGGTTCCCTCGTGATTCCTAGACAGACAAGGTTAAGAACTATTTTCTTATATACCAGAGTTGAGGATGCGTATTGAATATTCATGTACTCTAACCCAGAAATTCCATTCCCACATGTTTACCCTAGAGAAATTCATGTACATGTGCACTAGGAAGCATGTACAAGAGTGTTCCTAGAGTACTATTGGTAATAGCAAAAGTCTAGAAACAATGTCTATTGATCTTTGAATGGACAAGTCGTAGTATATTCAGAAGTAAAATGTTATACAGTGAAAGAAATCAGAACTACAGCTATGTATACATGTATGAATCTTAGAAACATAATGTTAAGTGTAGAAATCATTTCCCAGAAGACTACAAATAGTATGATACTATTTTATAGAGCTCAGAAACAAGCAAAAGGAAACAATATATTGTATAGGCATGTATTGAATGTAAAGATATCAGAACACTGGTTACCTCTTGGAGAGGCTGAAGTAATAACTGAGAGGAGCACATAGGCATATGTAACAGTTTGGTAAATTTTAATTCTTAAAACTTGGAAATAGGTTAATGGGTGCTGATTTTATTAAGTTGTAAGTGGTACATATATTCTTATGTATGTATCAAACACTACATATGTTATTGGTAGTCACCTTTTAGGGAACGGTAAAGCATTAATATCTCTATGAAGCTGCATCTCTGTAGTTTGTCTTATTAGTGTCCCCTGATGAATAGCTAAAGATAGAGTAATCATTGGCGTTACCTTTAGTATATTTTATATTTGGGCATCTCCCTGTAAGACAGCTCTGTCTTCAATCTTATCAGTAAAGTCCTTTTAATTCCTGTACACAGTCCCTTGTATAGCAAACAGTATCATGAATATTAGAGTTATACAAGGCCTTCCTTAGATCATCCAGTCCTGGGGTTATAAACTGACTGCCCATGGATGGAAGACCCACAGATTCATTCTCTATGGCCATTGGTTTAAAAAGATTGTAAACGTCATGAGGCAAGAGCTACACTATTCCTTTTGCCAGGCTCCACCATTCCCTAACGTTTACATTCTGCCCAATTATCAATTTATTATCTGGTAACCCTTGTGAGCATTTGAATTATGAATAAACCGCTGAATTAGTCCAACCTCCCTTGTTTTACAGATAAGGAAACTAGCCAGAGTCCAGTGTATATGTGAAGAGATTATGGGGATTTTGGTTTTGTTGTCTGCCTGATCATTTCATGCCAGCACACTGTTCCTTAATATAAATGTAAGGATTATTTCTATTATACATTGGTATTGCCAAAAGTGTTTGTGGCTCTGCTTCTCCAAAGGTGAAATTAATTGGGGAATGTGATTTGAGATATATATATATATATATATATATATATATATATATATATATATAAACAACTTAGATACAAGTTTCCAGAGATACAGATAATACAGAAACTGAACATTTGGATTAGCCCTAATGGAAGATGATTACATGTTTTCTTGATCCCTTAAATACTGGGAAGGTAGAGTGCACGTCTTGTTTCAGTCCTTTATTTGGAATACTTATGTAAAAACAGCTAATACTTTGGTCTTTCTTTTTCAGCACAACGTTAGAGGTGTTGTATCTATGGCTAATAATGGCCCAAACACCAATGGATCTCAGTTCTTCATCACCTATGGGAAGCAGCCACATCTGGACATGAAATACACAGTATTTGGAAAGTGAGTATTCTGGTTATGGTTTTCTTTGGAATTTCAATGCAAAGGATGCATATGAGTGGCTGTGATGACAGCATAACTAATACTCAAAGAGCAGTATGAGAGCTAAATGTACCTGAAATTTAAGTCCACCACGTAACAGCCCTGTGACCTGGGGAGACGCACAACCTCTCTGAGCCTCAGTTTTATTATTTTGTAAAAGAAGGGCCAGTACTATTTTTTCAGGATCATTATGCAAGTTAACAGTATGTATCTGTTTTCATTAAGAATAGCATCTTGCATCAACTAACACATCTGAAAAACAGTTGCTTAAACAAGATGGTATGTGATAGTGGTTCTATTGTATCACCAGTGTTCCAGGTGCCTCTGTCTTTCTTCTCAACCGTCTTTAGCTATCATTCTGAAGCTCACTTCATGGCCATAGCTTGGGCAGCACAGCCCCAGCCGGAACAGTTGTACTCCAAGTAGGAAGAAGGAGGAAGGGCAAAGGTGCTTGCCAGCTGAGTCAGCCCCTTTCTCAAGAGCTCTCCTGGAAAGCCCAGAACTTACCTACAAGGGAGGGTAGGCAGTGTTTCTTAGCCAGACATATTGCCACTCGCAATAAAACCAGGCCTCTGTGAATAAGAAGGGGAGATTGGATCCTAGGGAGTGTTTAGCAGTCTCTGCAAGAATATCCATTACAAGCCCTCTACCTGGGAATTGCTTTTATAAATCAACAGGAAGTCAGTTTGTCAACAAATGTTTACTGTGCTTAATAAACCAAGGCACAGTTTTAGAGTTTGTTTTCTTTCACAGTTGGATGCCAAGCTAGGTTAATTGAAAATAGAAGAGTCTACAGCTTTTCTTTTTTATTCCATATACATGTCTAATTTATAGATTAGTAATAATCAATGAAAAGGAATATTACAGCCTTTAGTGGTTTTTGTGGGCTTCACGAATGTGCGTGTCATCCGTGTGCAGGGGCCATGCTAACCTTCTCTGTATCGTTCCAATTTTAGTATACGTGCTGCCGAAGCGAGCACCAGACTCCCTTTTTTTTCTTTTCTCCCTTAACCCACCATTCAGAACTATTGATTAGTAATTACTAGGACTTATCTTACTGGATTGGTAAAAAAAAACTGTAGAGTTTAGAACAAGAATTCTTAATCTTTGGTCCAGTACCTCCTTGAAATTGTTTTGTATATATGCACATACATTTTTCTGAGAAAAAGGGTACATAGCTTTCCACTGGTTCTCAAAGGGGCCCATGTCCCAGATACTTAACTAGGCTTACTTGCTTCAATTCTACATGCCCTTTTTTGCCTGAGATCTGTTTCTTATACCCTCTTTCTCTCTTACTGACCCAGAAGGTAGGAAAGCCTTTAGTTAGTTAGTTAGTTTTTACTGGAGTATAGTTGCTTTACAATGTTGTGTTAGTTTCTACTGTACAGCAAAATGAATCAGCTATACATATACCTATATCCCCTCTTGTTTGGATTTCCTTCCCATGGGAAAGCATTTAAAACTTATAATTTCAAGACCTTAATTGTCCTACATTTGGGTGTAAAATCCAAAGGCTTTGGTTATAGTATCACTTTAGTGGAAATGTAAAACAAAATGAAAATCTGTTCTTTTTTTAAAGTACATAGTATGTCTTAGGAATTGATTTGAATTGCACTAGGAGGTATTATCTAAAAAGCCACTTTTTCTTAGCAAATGTTTTAGACTAACTTTCTAGAACATATTAGAAGGATAGCTCTCAATATATATATATTTTTTCTTGATAGAAACATGAAGTGGGCTTGCTGGAAGTGGCATAACTGTTGAGCTTATCTTCTCCTATTCTGAATATTGTTTTTTGTTGTCCAGAAGCAAAAAATAAAAACACTGTATTTAAACAATAAAGTGCAAAGAGGCCACCCACTTCAGGACCTTCAGTGTAGGGCAGTACTGATAATACTAGTGTCATCCTTACATACTTTCTCCAGGTTTTTCCTATAACAAAGAAAACCTTATGACTGGTTATATTGGCCCCATTTGTAGCTATTCCATGTGAATGAGGCCGAATGCAATGTTTAGATACTTTGGTGGGAATATTCCTTTCCATTGCTATTGTTGTCTAAAGGCATAAAAATGAATTTTTGTTTCTGAATTTTGGCCCCTACCTATGGCAGAAAATCAAAGCGACATTTTATTGTACACTCAACTGGGGAATTCAAAGAACTATGAGACATGGTGAGACTGTAATTGCTATAGGTATTTGGATATTATGTTTCAATCTCAGGATATTTTCAAACATTATATTGTTTCTCTTTCAGGGTAATAGATGGTCTGGAGACTCTAGATGAATTGGAGAAGTTACCAGTAAATGAGAAGACATATCGACCTCTTAATGATGTACACATTAAGGACATAACTATTCATGCCAACCCATTTGCTCAGTAGCTGTAATAGACCTGGACAAATACTTGGCAAACTATTCAAGGAACACACCTATTATGGTTCACCCAGTTTTAATTATGTCAGAGATTGCATCATTATACAGCTTGTTTACAACTAAGATCTACTTGTTTACAGCTAAGATCTTCTATGAGTTGGTGTTACCAAGGGAAGCCAAACAGCTTTTACTCCTATTCTTAGAGGGTATTCTTTACTGTAACTATTACCTAATGCATTTCTTTAATTTTTTTTAAAAAACCCTATGTTTAATTTTGTTTTTCCATATAAATATTCATTTTAAAATGCTGAGTCTCAAATCCAGGCATTGTTGAGCACCCTAATTACATGCTCCTACCATATGTAGTCCACATCCTGGAAATATTATTTTCTATTAATTATTTACTTTATACAGTTAGAAAGAGGAAGGACAAATAAAGAGATGGCCTGGAAAGGCCGGTCAATCCAGTTGTTATTTTCCCTGGTCTTTATAGTAAAGGCTCAGAGAAGTCTTGAAGTACAGTAAACACTCAGAATTTCCCAACTCATGTGCCCATGGAACATTTTTAAAAAATATATCTTTTTTTGTAAAGCAATTATACCCCAATAAAGATGTTAAAAATAAATAAATAAATAAATAAAACTCTTAAAAATATATATATATATCTTTTCAAAATGCAGGGTAAAAAAGAAATATAATGCAGGATAGAGTTCTACAGATGATCCATTTGAAAAATACAATTAGTTGTAGAGTTCTGGTTTGGGTTTGAATCACAGCTCTGCCCCCTAATATTAACTTTAGGCAAGTTAATATCTCCAAGCTTTAACTTTCTCATACATAAATGATCCTTCACATGACTCTTGTGAGGATTAAATGAAATAGTGTGTATAAAGCTTCTGGCATGTAGTAAGTGTTCTGTAGCAAGTAAATGGAAGCTGTGCTCTTAACCATATCAGGGCTCTCACCTAATCAGGCCATTTATCAGGCTCTACCATTGATTTGTTAAAGAACTATGTCCCACTCACTGTCTAGATCACCTAGGTTAGATTTGGGGTATTTCTAAAACTGATACCAAACATTTCTTCGTTTGTATCATTTCTGCAGATGGCTGATCTAATTGATTCTTTCTTAACTGCAATTAGGGAGTTAGCTTACAGTTATTCTCTTATTACTATTGGTACCTTCCATACCTTACACTAAACTGAGGGGCCAGTTACACTAATGCCCTCATGTTTTGTTTCACCTTTTTAATTTAACCATTAGTTTCTAGAATTGGTATTAAGGCCTCTTTTAGGCCAGAATTTGGTTTGCCACTTCTTATACTTGATATCTTTCTTCTCCAAACATGTCATTGAATTTTTGTCACCACTCTTAAGAGTATTTTACTGATTGTCAGGAAGTTTTTGTACTGACTGACATTGCCTCAATTTTTATTCCAAACTGTGCCATTTTTTTAGTGCTACAGATATGACTTCTGGGTTCTTAGAGCTCATTCTTATGTCTTATTCTTATGTCTGCTTAGTTGTACCCATAAGGATCTCATAGATAGGGAGGTATACTGGCTCCCCTTTGGGCCTCTCATAGACTACCATGAGGATCAAAATCCAGAACGTTGATTTCTGTCCACTCACACTGAATTGACTGGTTCACTGATCACATTAGCAGTTGGGTAATTGACATTCTGTTCCATGTATTACTTGGCAGTAAGTATAAACTACTCAGAAGACTAGAATATTGCTGATCAACCCAAGTTCTCTTTAAAACGAAAGTAATGTGGTTCCCCAGCTAGACAAGAGGTTGGCAAACTGCAGCCCTCGGGCTGGCCACCTGTTTTTGCAGATAACATTTTCTTGGAACTCTGCCATTCCCATGTTTATGCAGTAGCTCTGGTTGTTTTGTGCTACCAGAGCAGAAATGATTGGCTGTGCCAGAGACCAAATAGCCTGCAAGCCTAGAATATTTACTCTCTGGCCGTTTAAGAAAGTGTGCCAACCCTTGACCCAGACTATCAGAAGTTGCCAAATAATCATGGTTTCACAGCAAAGGGAGTTAAAACTCATACGAGTTTAAGGGATAGTATAAACTATGCCTGAAATCTGCTTCACCATGTTGCCGAAAAATCGGCTTCCCTGTGCACCGAGGCCGAACAGAAATACGGAGACAGGGATTTTGGAGGAAGAGAGAGATGGCTTTATTTTTCTGCTAGGCAGAAGGGAAGACAGCAAGCTAGCACCTCAACTGTGCCCCCCCTCCTTGGGAATCGGGAGATTTTAGATGTGGGGCTCACAGCCCGGGGTATATGGTAAGGATCAAAGTAGTGAAGGTCTTGCATGCTTCCTTTCCTTTGCATTATTTCAAAACAGTCATAGCTGGCGTCAGGCTGCCTGGTAATTGGGGTCTGGCAGTCTGGAAACGGCGTCCATTTGCCTCTCCTTTATCGGCCTGTGACCTTGTCTCTGAAATTCAAAAACTATAGGGGGTGATTTGTTACAAGGGGCCTGTAGAATGTAAGTGCCCGGAGTGAGAGGTGGGGTATGTAACACACAGTCAGGGGTGATGGGTGCCGAAGGTAAATTACGTAGTGTCAGGGAGTGAGGTTCGCTTTGTAAAGTACAAATCCAGTTACTGCAAGTTAGTGACAGTTAAACAAGGAGTGATTAACTCTCAGGGCTGGCTGTGCTGCTTCTTTCGCCTGCTCGATGCTCCCTTTTTTTCCCTTGCTCTCAGGAGAAGGAGAAAGAAAACTCACTTCTATTTACATCGCAACATGATTAACTCTCAGGGCCGGCTGTGCTGCTTCTCTGCCTGCTCGCTGCTCCCTTTGTCTCCCTTGCTCTCAGGGGAGGGAAGACTTCATGGCTATTTTTGCTGCAGCCACCATTCTTGAATTGTACCTGAATTCATTAGAATTCTTGAGTCCTGTTAGATACTCGTTTGGAGCTCTTGAGTAGAAGGCTTGCAGACCTTTTGGTTAATGGCAAATTGAATAGTTGTAATTCATACCTTGGTTGAACTTGGAAATTTCCAAATCCATTTAGCAACACATTCTTAATCTCTATGGTGGGTATTTCTGAAGACATGTTTTTTTGTTGTTTGAACAACTAAAACTAGTAAGTAATTTATTGAGCTTCTTCCAGGTTTGGATACAAAGGACATCGGACACTGTCTACTCCATGGGAGCACAGTCTCAGGACCTAAGAGACATGTAAATAGATAAGTTTTAATACAAAGGACTCAACTTTTAATCAGTTTAGTAAAGTGGATAGATCAGTTACTATTTCACTAATGGATTGGTGGTTCTTTAAATTCAATTTGTACCAATTGTGGTTCAGGTAGTGATACTCCATATAATAATTATAAAGCAAATCTAGAAGAATACATGATAATGGAAAATTTTTTAAATATAATGAAAAAGGAATTAATCCCAATCTTTATAAAGCTGCAAATATCAATATTAAAACTGTGACGTGTGAGGGATAAGACTAGAATAATAGAGTGTAAACAGTAGTGTATACATAGTTTATTTAAAGCAGTATCCAAAAATCATTTAAAAAAGAGAAGAGGGGACTTCCCTGGTGGTGGTTAAGACTCTGCTTCCATTGCAGGAGTTTGAACGAGTTTGAACCCTGGCCAGGGAACTAAGATCCCCTGTGCTGCACAGTGCAGCCAAAAAAAAAAGTTATTCCATAAATTGTGTTAGGATAACCAGTAAATGACATGGAGGAAAAAAAGCAAAAGAATTTCACCTCACATGATATATCAAAATTCCAGATGGATAAAAGAGTTGCCTTTTTAAAGAAAACCGAAGAAAAATTTAAAACATTTCAAAGAATTCCTCTGAAGAAGAAAGGAATTTCTCAGTTTACAAACTTGACAGAGGTAAAGATGGAATAGGTTTAACTGCACGAAAATAAGACAAAAGAGAACTGTACAGAAAAGCAATAAGGTATGAATGGACAAGTCACAAGAGAAAATGTGCAACTTCACTAATTAGAAAATAAAGTTACAAGTTCAGTATCCACCAAAATAACAAATTTTTAATGTTATGCACTCACTTAGTTAGAGCCGCCAAAACAAAGTACAGTACCAGAGACTGGGTGGTTTAAACAACAGAAAAGTTTCTCACGGTTCTAGAGACAAGTTGGGAGATCACGATGTGGGCAGGGTTGTTTACTCTGAGGCCTTTCTCCTTGGCATGCAGATGACCAACTCCTGTCTTCACGTCATCTTTCCTCTGGGTGTGTGTTTCCCAATCTCTTTATAAAAACACCAGCTAAAGTGGATTAGGCCCCTCCCTAATGACCTCATTTAATCATATTGCCTCTGTAAAGACCCTATTTACTGCCAACTAAAAATTGTCGCTTACTATCTGGCTCTAGTGTATAAGAGTGAAGTCACTAGCCACTGCAGTCACTGACTTTCAACACTCCTTGAAAGGAGTTCAGAGTGGAGATCAGGCATGAGGCACCCTGTGCTTTGGGGAAAACAGGCAGAACAGGCCTTCAGATAGATATTTTCAGAAGATTTTATGAGCCCAATTTCTTGCATCTTCTCATATCTAGAAAAGCACTAAAATCATTAATGGAGACACCTACCTGCTCCTCGTGACTAGCAGCAACCCTCTGACAAAAGGTGTGCTTGACTGCACATATCCCCCTTCACTAAAATCATATGTAACACTAACTTCTCCCCCTACCTCTTGGGAGCAGTTCCTCAGAGCTGAGAGGCTATCTCCCCAGGCATTTTGCCCCAAATAAAACTTACCTCACTACTCTCACATTGTGCATTTTTTTCAGTCCACACTACAAATACAGTCACATTCTGAGGGAGTGGAAGTTAGGACTTAAACACATGAGTATATGGGGGGGGGGCGCATAGCCCTTCAAACAGCCCATAGCATGCACTAACAGACGCACTAAAATGCCTAACTTCATTAATGAAACTTTGGATATATCCTGAACCAGTAATCGGCTGTATGTGGGCTTTGCTAAATTTAAAACCATTTTGGAAAGCAATTTTGGCAACATGTACAGGATTTTTTCATTGGCTTTTACCCTGTAATTTTACTGTGAGGATTTCGCCTAAAGAAATTAAATACTCTAAATTGCTGTCTGCACAAACTGCAACTTTGACCTATAATAGCAGAACATGGCTAATGCCCATATTTAGATTGCTGTTAGGATTAAGTGAGAACTTATGTACAGTGTTTAGCACAACGACTTCGATTAACTGTTATACTCCAAGGACTGGGATTCCCTAGGTTTTGCTTAACATTTAAATGTGCTGTTAAACATATACCGAATAGCTGTAAATTTCACAAGTTACTGTGAGAAATTTCTCCCTCACAAGTGAAATACTTACCTTGTACTTAGTGATCCTGACCCCATGTAAGAATCTAGGTATTAATGGTTTTAAAGCATCTTGAAAGCCATTTTGAGAAGCGGCTTAAGAAATGCAAACAAGCATAGGGTTTCTGGGGATGCATATTCCTCATCACTTTACCCTACAGTAGTTGTGCATCCGTATCCGGCAAGTTATCTACGCTGCTCTCCTGTCTAAATAAAGCCAGTAAGATTACGCTTTACCGTAATACGTGATAATTTTATGCGTTCCACTAAATTTGTAATGAGTACGTGATTTTCTTCAAGTGACAAATGGAGAAGGGGCGGGGCGCGGGAGTCAGGATTTTCAATTACTTTGTTCCATCAAATTGCAGCTTGGAAAAAAAAATGGCAGCTTGATTTTTGTTGTTCAGAGGTTGTTTCCTGATAATTGTCTTCTTCTAATGACCTTCCATTTCCCCCTTTTACAGTTTACTTCATCTTTACACCGCAGAGGTCTCGCTTAATGCGGAAATGTTGCTTGTGAGGAGTTCCACTTTCTGTCTCCAGGCTTTTGCTCTCACATTTCTTCGACTTCTAAAACCTCGGGAAAAATCTTTACAATCCAAGTTCAGTGCATGTGGGTCCCAGCCACCGAAGATTTAACTAGTTTTAAACAGGTCTCAGAACTTTAACAAAAGCCCAAATCCAGACAATCCCCAATTTGGGGCTATTTGATGCAGATGGTGTATTTTTTTTTAAAGCATCGTTTAAGCGATTGCAATAGGGTACCGGCTACTTTGTACCCTGCTTCCCTCACTTTTCCTCATTTCTAGCGTTCACAAACACAATTTTTTTTTTAACATCTTTATTGGGGTATAATTGCTTTACAATGGTGTGTTAGTTTCTGCTTTATAACAAAGTGAATCAGTCATACATAAACATATGTTCCCATATGTCTTCCCTGTTGCGTCTCCCCCCTCCCACCCTCCCCATCCCACCCCTCCAGGCTGTCACAAAGCACCGGGCCAATATCCCTGTGCCATGCGGCTGCTTCCCACTAGCTATCTACCTTACTGCGTTTGTTAGTGTGTATATGCCCATGACTCTCTCTCGCCCTGTCACAGCTCACCCTTCCCCCTCCCCATAACCTCAAGTCCGTTCTCTAAGAGGTCTGCACAAACACAATTTTTAGTGACCATGAGCGAGTCTCTTCTCTTCAACTCTTACAATGTTTTCTCAGAGCCGGAACGGAGAGCGGGGCCAACATGGCGGCCAGTAACAGCTTCCCTCCCTCCACCCTTGGGCGCTGAGCGCCCGACCCAGAACCTGCGCACAAGTCGGAGCCGGAGTCCGCTCCGCCCTCCCCGCCTGCGCGCCCCGCCCGGAGGCGGAGGCCCGCTTGCAGCGTCATCGTGTTTTCCAGGAGAGTCCTGACGCGGTGACTGTCAGCTCCATTTTGCTGCCGGAGCTCGCAGCAGCCAGCTGCGTTTTCTCTGTGGTCGCGTCGCAAGCATTGTCTCCTTAGGCTTGGACTCTTTTCCAGGACGGTAAGACGCGGGAGGAAGCAGGCCAGGTGTCAGGGCCTCTTTTTGTGCCTCGAGAGCGCTTGTGACGCTCCTCTCCAAGCTTGTTGGGCGCCCGCAGTCTCCGGCACGGTGACCCCCTTTTCCCTACCCTCCCGGCTGCACAAAGGTGGCCCGCTCGTCTTCCATGCTTTGCCAAGCCCGTCGCTGCGAATTTCTGTTTGAACCGCAACGCTCCAGTCAGTCACTGGTGGAAGGTAGCGGTAGGGTTTGCCAGGCGGGGGAAGGTTCTCGAACGTTTGCCTTCCCCAAAGGGAGGGGGGAAGGGCCGAGCCCCGGAGCCCACGGGCGCCATGTTGTCTGCGGCGGCGGAGGCCTCGGCCGGGCTGTAAAATGGCGGCGGGGCGGAGACGGCAAGGCAGCCCGCGGGGGGTGGCGTTGACTCGGGTTCTGGAATGTTCCTAAGTCTCGCTCCTCTGAGGAAGTGTTCTTAACAAATGAAAAGAAAGAACACGTTGACCTGGTGTAAGGCGGCGTCACTTAATGTCCAGTTGAGTCTTAAAGGATTCCGGGGAAAATGGCGCGTGCCTTTGCCTTCAGTGGTGTAAACAAAAGTCAGGTTTAGGATCTCGAGGAAAGAAAAATAATATGGCGTATTTGAAGGAGCGCGTGAGAGAAGTCGGGCAGTGGGGCCGTTTAGCCAAGGTACTTTTTGCAGACCTCCCTGCCCAGAACAATTGGAGCTTCTTGATTTCGAGTTGCCTTTAGAGACGAGGTGAGGCCCGGGCAGTCAGTACCGATATGAACGATAGTTGGTGAAAAGTTTGTGTATAACGTCTTTTTCAAGTTGTTAGGAATTTGTGATCCTGGCAGGAGAGGATTTTTCCCAACGTTCAGAAATTGGGATTTCCTCCTCTCTCTTTTTCCAACCCTCTTCTAGTAAATCTGAGCGTGACATGAGTAATGCAGAATATCTATGAATAAAGTTCAGACTCTAGATTTTGAGGCAGCAGAAAAAAAATCATTGGGTTTATCAGTGATTTCTGGTTGGGTGATAATGATTTTTGAACTTTGATTTAAAAACAATAAAACGTCACAACTAGAGTGAATTTGCAACAGTGTTGACCTGTGGGGTAATATTTAACTGGGAAAAACTTGTCTTTTATGTAGATGAGACACTCAAAGAGAACTTATTGTCCTGATTGGGATGAAAAAGATTGGGATTATGGAAAATGGAGGAGCAGCAGCGGCAGTCATAAAAGGAGGAGGAGATCACATAGCAGTGCACGGGAGAACAAGCGCTGCAGATTCAATTACTCTAAAACATCTGATAGGTAATGAGGATATTTATAGTGTCTCAGTATAAAAATATTTTCATTACAGTGTTACGTATCAGTTGTATTTCAGTAAAACCGGCGGAAAAATACATTTTCATGATGAAAACTAGAGGCGACTTACGATAACTGATTACCATTTCTGTTTCCAGTGACAACTTGTAATGGTTGTAAAATTGGGAGGTTTTTTTTTTTTTTTGCTTTTTGGTAAGAAAAGCGTAAAATCTTATTAAGAGTACTGTTTTAAGAGATTTACTGAGAATTTGAGGATATTTGGGATTAACATAGAGCATTGAAAATGCATTTTCACTTTTTCTAGCTATTATCTGGAAAGCAGATCCATAAATGGGAAGGATTATCATAGTCGACGCTACATTGATGAATACAGAAATGACTACAGTCAAGGATGTGAACCTGGACATCGTCATAGAGATCATGAAAGCAGATATCAGAACCATAGTAGCAAGTCCTCTGGTAGAAGTGGAAGAAGTAGTTATAAAAGCAAACACAGAATTCACCACAGCACTTCATATCATCGTTCACATGGGGTATGAGCTGTTTTAAAATATTTTGGAAATTTTATTTCCCTTGTGGAACAGGAAAACTTGAAATTGTGTTTGATCATTTGAGGAAGTTCTGTTTAAGATAAAGTCGTCTCGATTTTAACTTGCAGGAGTTTTTGTGTTTGTGCATTGGATAGGAAATTCTTCAAATACCATATCTGTATAGTTAATATAGTAATAGATTTTATTAGTAGTTGGCAACTAATTGTCATTCCAGTGACAGGAGGTAATTTAGGTTAGTTTATAGCAGGGATTACAAGATATTCTGAAAGTTTTCTTATAGTACTTCAATAAATGTGATTTGTTAAAGTCTTACTACAAATAGAAGTAGAATTTTTATATTTGTACGACTGAGGATTATGCTGTGCATGCCTCTTTGTTCTGGCAAAGCATATTCTCTAATCCTTTTTTCACTAAGGAAACCACTTAAACAGATTTGAATGTTATGGGTTATGGGTTAATTTGGAGATCAAGCTCAGATGACATTTTAAATACCATAGTGTTATTCTTGTATGCCAATTTTTTTTCTCCCCAAAATTAGGATTTTTAATTTTATTTGCTGTTTTGTTATTTTCTTAGTTTAGCTGGGAAATTATAATTTGGCCACAGTCTACTTTTGACAAGTAAATATTCTGCAATTTTGCAACATTAAATTAGGACACTAGAAACTTAAAATTATGTTTCAGTGAGTGCTACAACTAAGCATTTTTTAAAAAAGAAAAACAATTGTATTATGTTTTGTTGCCTTGCCACTTTGAGTATCTTATCTGAAAATCTGTTCCTTGCCATGTTTTTCTCCTGTTAACATAAACTATGTGCCCTGTGAATTTCTGGGGACTGAATTTGAAATTGCTCCTGCCAACCGTTTGTGGCCTGGCGTGTATCTGAATGCCTGAATATCTCCCCGCTGAATGAATTTCGTATTCTGCCCTGAATTCACTCGGGTATATTGATTGGCTGGATGATCTTGGTGCCGCCCACTTGACGTTTCCAGAAGAGTCACCGAAGGAAAAGAACCAGGAGTGTAGAGGATGATGAGGAGGGTCACCTGATCTGTCAGAGTGGAGACGTACTAAGTGCAAGATGTATAGAATATTTTTCAACACTTATTAACTTTTCAGATAACATAATCTATATATAGATTAAGATTTCAGGGATTTGGAAATCTTTTTTTCTTTCTCTGTTTTTGTTTTGTTTTTTTCCATTTCTTTTGGTGGGGGGGGTTGTGTTTTTACTTTCTTTAGAAATTTAATGTTTGTTATGCAGAACTTCCAAAACAGTAAATCAAGTTAATGAAATTAGCTTAAGAATGAAATTAGACCTAAAAATAATTATATATGTTTTTTGGCAGTGTTGACCAATAAAATATCTAGTGACTAAGGAAATTTGTAGCATCAACTAGAATAATCTGCATTTGATAGCCTTTATTGTAAGTAAACTGTTTCCACTTCTTGGTATAACTGAGTTTTATTTCTCTCTTTTAGATGAAATTGTAGATACTTTAGGTGAAGGAGCTTTTGGGAAAGTCATGGAGTGCATTGATCATAAAGCGTAAGTCTCCTGGCCTGGGATTGCACTTGGGAAGGTGAACAGTATAGAAAATTTATTCAGCTTTAAGATAAAGTCTGACCATGAATTAGACACATCATTATACCCTTTTAGCTTGGATTTTTGACTTGTGTATAGGAAACTCCAATAAAGTTACTAGCCTTTTGTGTTCTTAAGCAGTAGCTATTAATAGTATGTGTAAGTCTCTAATTACAAGCTGAGAATAGATTTTATTGTTTCAGAAAGTATTCTTTTGTTGTCCCTCTGGGCACAGTTGTGGCCATTGTTGTTTTTTTTTTCCTGGATCGGTAGATTTTAGCCTTGGTTTTATATTAGGAGTCTGTGGAGCTTTGCTTACCCCAGACATTGAACCAGTCTTCAGGGTAGTTTACCTAGGAACCTGTATTTTTAGATAGTAACCTAATTGATAAGGGGTGACACAGCTAGAGCTGAGAACTCTCCTAGATTGGTGTCATAAGTTTAATTATCTATGCCCTTCAAACAACTGATTGAAATTTCTTAACATAGTGTAAGAAATTTTCTTTACTCTGTTTCCTGTTTGATTTTTTTTCCCTTTGGAATGGCAAAGCTTTTCTAAATGAATTATTAGAGGAGGCTTCCTACTATTGGTTGGTAAGGTTTTGAGAACTAGAACTCTTCATCCTCACTATATCCCAACTTTTTTGGTAACCTGGACCAAAAGAAGATTGGAGTTACTAGCCAGTTGACTGGTATTATAGGAAGAAACTGCTCTATGTACATTTGTTTTACTTCTTAGTTGGAATGTAAATTGAGGTGATAATGTCCCAGTATTGTTAAATTAGAGCTATTGGTATGTAGTTAAAGGACCAAAAAAAAAAAATTCAAGTGGTCTGATGAAAAAAATCTGTCATTCAGCATGTGTTACCGACCCTACCATATGCCCAAAGGTCATT